ATGTTTATATATTTTAATTCTGCTGTAACCCACCTTAAGCCACGAGGAGAGGTGGGTAAGAAATAAAATTATTATTATTATTATTATTACTATTACTATTACTATTAATTGTTTCAGCAGCCAGGTACACATATCGTATGAATGGGCCATAGCTATATAAAAAAGCTCACTCTCTACTTAAATCTCTGGTCTGCGTATTTTAATATGTATGTTATAGAAATAGGTTTTAATGTGTATTTTTATAGAATTTTCACAATGTTTATATATTTTAATTTTGCTGTAACCCGCCTTAAACCACGAGGAAAGGTGGGTAAGAAATAAAATTATTATTATTATTATTATTATTATTATTATTACTATTAATTGTTTCAGCATTTTAATTGGGTCCCACAAAATTTTCTTTGGAGGTCGAAGAATTATCAGTGCACTTGGTCTTCCACATTTATGGGTTTGACTTTTACAGATTTGATTATTCAATAATTTGATTAAAATCTTGTATGTATAGGATCCTGCAGTTCCTGCAGGACCTAGACATTCTTACAAAGAATATCTCTCTAGGATTCTCTATGCCTTCGCCTGTGATTTGATGGTCAGTTCCCACTGGACGTTGACCACAAAGTTATGCTGGAGGACCAATAGATTCCTAGAAATATGTTCTCTCAAGTAAAAAAACAACCACACTATTTTCTAATTTGCATCCCCCATCTTTCCCTCCTCCTTTTATGGGGGTCTAAACCCAGGAAATACGGGGGACCAACTGTACATAGCGTTGTTTCCTGATATAAACAGATTTAAGCCTAATTTCTAGACAAGGCAAACCAACATTCATCAAGCTGTAGTCAAAAATAAGAACCCATGTTTTCTCATATTGTTAAGAAAAATGTCAAATTTGTTTAATTTTATAATTTAGTTTGAATCTGCAAGAGGAGACAGTTATAAAATAAATGGTTAACAACTGCTCGTTAAGAATTCATAGAGGATCTTAGTTAGTTTCAACCTATATTGTAATGAATTTAATATAATGGGAAAGAGACCATAACTGGGTGGAAGACGACATCATCCACCTGCAGAAATTCCTGAGTTCTATTTCCAACTCCTGTAGCTTAAAGCGTCACATAGTAAGCAACAGGAAACACCTCAGCTTATGACACAACAGAGGCAGTTCACTGTCAATCAGTGTAGTCCACACTAAGCCAGAAGTACAAAGTGTGCATTGGTTTGGAGATGTGATTATAGTTCTCCTATGTCTCATGTAGCATGACCTGTCCTAGGGACAATCCTCACTAATTAGTGCAGTTGCTAAGAACAAAAGAATCTTCTTTCCATAACGCATAGAGCTCCCAAAGATGAAATGGAGCCCCCAAAGTGTAAATTGTGGGGCACTGATATGAAAAAAACAAAACAAATATTAGAGTGGCTGTTTCATTTGTATTCATTGGTATGGCCTACTTTATATGTGTATGACGTTACCCCTCCCCCCACCATATTTTTAAAAAGAGGGGGAGGATTACTGTCCAATCAATCTGGCATTAATACCAGGAAAGATTCTGGAGAAGAGCAATGAAAACAGTACTTTAAAAGAAACACCATGACCATTAAATGTTAACATCAGTTAGTCAAAAACAAGTCACATCGTACTACATTTATATTTGTATTTGAAAGAGTTACAAGCTTGGTCTATGTCAAAGCAGGGGAACATATGGGATGTAACAATCTAGCAAGCTTGCTATACATGAAATAATTGCATGTCTTAGCTCAGTAACATTTTTGAAATGAATGTAACATCTCTCCAACAAATGGTAATGAGGACAGCAGAAGAAAATATTTTTAAATGATTATCATTGCACCCAACAGGAAAAATCTTAATGTTGCAACTAGCACAAAAAACTCTGTATTCATTAATTTCTTGGAAAAAAAACAATCCTGAAGTTGTGGAAAGGAAGGACAAAGGGTAGTTAGGAAGGAATCATATAATTTGTATATTTGTATCCAAGTGTAATAAGAGATCTAACAACAAGACAGAAATCACACAGTGTTGTTTTATGTTTAGAGCCAAGTCCACTCTGCAAAACAAAATTACCAACTAGTACACAACGCATTTGTTCTGAAAACAGGCAGCCACAACTTAAGTAGTTATAGCTGTAAATAGGGACATGTGGGTCATGGATCTAGGTGCTGACCAATCCAACTGTGGGATGACAAGAAGAATGTGGGAACAAACCCCTTTGTTATAGTCCTTCTCATCATTAGAGGGTTGTGCCTGGCACAACCTGGGGATCACAACCAGACACAGTGAAGACATCTGCCTTTGCGCTATGCTACTCTGCTGCTGAGTACGCATGCCCAGTGTGGAACACATCTCACCACACTAAAACAGTGGATGTGGCTCTTAATGAGACATGCCGCATTATCACGGGGTGTCTGCCCCCTACACCACTGGAGAAATTACACTGCTTAGCCGGTATTGCACCACCTGACATCCGCCGGGAAGTAGCAGCCAATAGTGAAAGGACCAAGGCAGAGACATCTCCAGCTCATCCCTTGTTTGGGTATCAGCCAGCATGTCAACGACTTAAATCAAGAAATAGTTTTCTAAGATCTACAGAGACACTCGCTGGAACACCTCAGCAAGCGAGAGTCCAAAAGTGGCAGGCTCAAACCCAGAACCTCAACCAATGGCGGATACCAAATGAGAGACTCCCCCCTGGGCACACAGAAGACTGGGCGACTTGGAAGGCGCTGAACAGACTGCGCTCTGGCACCACGAGATGCAGAGCCAACCTCAAGAAATGGGGCTACAAAGTGGAATCCACGACATGCGAGTGTGGAGAAGAGCAAACCACTGACCACCTGCTGCAATGCAACCTGAGCCCTGCCACATGCACAATGGAGGACCTTCTTGCAGCAACACCAGAAGCACTCCAAGTGGCCAGATACTGGTCAAAGGACATTTAATCAACTACCAAACTCGCAAATTTGTGTTTTGTCTGTTTGTCTGTTTTGTTCTGTGTAGAAATGTAATACAATTGACTGGTTGCCCTGACAAGACAAACAAAGAAATCATCAGAGGGTGCCAGAAAGTTGTCTACCCACTGAGTTGGGCCAGACCTGCCTCCACCACAAACACCCTGGGATCCATAAGGGGACCCCCATAAGTTACCAATGTTTAAGGCTCACTGGTAATCAAAGTTTCAGATACATGACTCATGCCAACCACCCTGAAAGGTTGTGACAAGGAGTGGAATGAACAATCATGATACATAATGGGTGAGTGGGATAACATCCAGAAGACAACTGTTTAGTGTGTGTCTAAGAAGGAGGCTTTATATCCATTCCACAGCCTCCAACTGGAATGGATCCTACAATTGGGCCACTTTGGTTGGGTCTGCCCCTCAGTGAGCTCAAACTTGGGTTAAAACCCATTGGGTAGCATTCCCAACTCTTCCCAGGACCACACCAGAGTGTGTGGTTACCAGGAAAGTAGAAGCCATGCCAACAGAAAGCTGCCATCTGAACCAGGCTCAGTGAGTTCCTCTGAGCAAACGCACTGCATAGTATGTTATACAGTCTATTTACTACCTCAAATGCTGTTCTGCAGCAATTCTCAACCAATGGGTCCCTAGGTGTTTTGGCCTACAATTCCCAGAAATCCCAATCAGTTTACTAGCTGTTAGGATTTTTGGGAGCTGAGGGCCAAAACAGCTGGGGACTCACAGGTTGAGAACCACTGTAAGGCATTCTGTTTTATATGGATTCTCTCACATTTGGGGTTATGAAGTCCAATTTGTTAACTTTTCATCATCATCATCATCATCATCATCATCATCATCATCACTTTATTTCTTAATTAGTTGCTCTCCACCAAAGTGCTCCGAGCGACTTACAATTTAAAATAGCTTATACACAATATAAAACATTCAACATAAAAACATTCAACATGAAAACATTCAACATAAAAATATTCAGCAGTGACTATGGCAAAATTTGATCCGATTACTTAAATGCACAACCAAACAGCCAAGTCTTGAGCGCCTTTACAAAAGGTCGCAACTCCGACATTGCTCTAATATATGGAGGCAATGAGTTCCACAGAATTGGAGCATAGATCGAAAAAGCTCTACGCCTTGTAGCTTCCAAATGTGCCTCCCTAGGTATGTATAGGAGATTTTCCTGGGTGGAAAATCTTTTCATGGTTAACACAAGAGTGCAACAATGTGAAATAGATACTCTTATGAAAATTCGTATATGAAGATATACTCTTACTCCATAGTAGAAGGCAATCACTTCAGGTTGTTTTTCCTCTGTGTCATCTAAGGGTGCATGTACACAGTTGAATTAATGCAGTTTGACACCAATTTAACTGCCATGGCTTAATTCTATGGAATCATGGGCTTTGTGATGTTATAAGTTCTTTAGCCTCTCTACCAAAGAGTGCTGGTGCCTCACTACACTAATTATGCAATGTAGATGTATGTACCTCAAGACACACATACAACCTTCTCTCCTCCAACCATTTTGGGGGTTGGTTCAGCACAGAAGTTGGGTGCTACCTCATGTTTCCTTTTGGATTTGTATACCACAATGTTACAATGTGCTATCATGATCCTATTGTGAATAGGCACAGCACCACCTCTCCAGCACTTATTTCTCTCCAAGGGCCACACAGCAAAAATGGCCTGTTACATTATTCCAGCTTTAAAGCAAATATTAGCTGTAGAAGCAAGAAGGTATCAATTTGAATTCCCAGATTTCCCAAACTTGACAGAGCAATCTTATGACTGTAGCTTAATGAAGGGAGAAACATACAAGTCAACTGGTCGTATTTCATGCACATAGGACTATTTTGTGATTAAATGTACTGTATATTGTCATATCTGACTATTGATTAACTCCTTCATTGTAAAGAGTACACAGTGATTTCAGAACAAATTTTAAAATGCATCACTTAAATAAATGCAAAAGGCTACCTTTCAAAAAGCATTAAGAAGAAATATATTTACCGAATTAAGTCCAATAATGCATCGGCTGAGCTCATGATTGGCTTCCCACTTTCCTCAGTGTTCTCCTTCTGGGCTGCCCCACCAGGATGGATGATGGAGACCATAACGATGCCCACAACGACGGCCACAAAAGTAGTCCAGAGATAGTAAGTGACTGTAATAATGCCTAATCGACTAGATGTCTTGGCATCAAGAGCTGCTAACCCAGACATTAAGCTGTTGAAAGAAAATGGAAGAAACATGTTACTTTTTCCAGTCTTAAATGAATGATGTTAGCCACTATATGCATCCAGTGTGAGACCAGAGAAATTAGGGATTTTTCGCTTCTCATTAACGCATTACATCTCCCTCTCTGAGCAAAGATGACCAAGGAAAGAATTAGCTAGAATTTGCTGCCAAGATCACATTTTCCCCCTATTAGAGTTACTTCTCAAATTATTTTAATGCTTGTACATGTACACTGACTGAATTATAATTTTATTTATTTACTTTCACATTCTTCTTTTTCATCTTCACATGCTTAATAGTGTGGATGAGGAAACTATTTTTGAAACTAGACTAAGATAAATTACTCTTCATCTGCATATCGAAAATAGTAGGATGAATCTAATGTTAGTACTAACATTAAACAGATCTATTTATTTATTTATTTATTTATTTACTGCATTTATTGACCGCCGCTCTCAGCCCTAGGGCGACTCGCGGCGGTGCACAACATATAAAAACAGTTTACAAAAGGGCAAAACAGGAAATCAATACAACAATAATACACTATAATCTAGTTACACTAAATAATCCGCTCCGTCACATCATAGAATCATAACCAATATCGTAATCCGTATTCCGTTTCTATTGAAATGAATGGTACTTAGAATACTAGAATCATAGAGTTGGAATGAGACCACAAGGGTTCTTGGATAAGCATGAGTAACACCCAAGGGATTTATGATATTAACAACATTGGTTGATTACGTATATAAAACACTAACATACTAATAAATAGTTTAGAAAATATTTTCCTAAGACTAGTTTGGAATGTCGAAGAAGATAAAGAAAAAATATATAATGTTATAATTTTTTCCCTTCCATTTACAACATCTTTCCTTTCCATGATGATTCATTAGACATGTGTTAAAACCTATTACAGTATATTCTGGCGTATAAGACTACTTTTTAACCCAAGAAAATCTTCTCAAAAGTCAGGGGTCGTCTTATACGTGGGTGTAGTTTTATGCATGGGAGTCGTCTTAACTCTATATTTTAACTGGAAAAGTTGGGGGTCGTCTTATACGCCCAGTCGTCTTATATGCCGGAATATACGGTAAACTACTATCAATAACTTGAATAAGTTTTACCCTCCCTCCCATGCCCTAATGTAATTGTGGAATATATATACATACATACATACATACATACATACATACATACATACATATATGTATATATATATGTGTGTGTGTGTGTGTGTGTGTATAAAACCCAATAACATTGGGCCCCAAAACTGAATTTCTGCAGCCACTTCTCTCCAGAACAAAGAACAATCATTGGTGAGTAGCCTCTGTGGTCTGTCTGCCAAAGCAACTGTTTGGCCTACAACTCACACCCCTTGCCTTCAAGAATACCATGTCAAAATTCTTATCAAATCAAAATATACAAACATCCCAACACTCTCTTGATCTACCAAGCTTGAAACTCTAAGAAAAAGATACATTTAGTTTCATATGACTTATTTTTGAGGAAGCCATGCTGGCTTTTAGCATTTGCAGCATTCCTTCCCAAGTGTGCATAGACTGTTCAATGATCTACTGTAGAACCTTTCCTGGTATCGGTGTCAAGTAGTGTCAAGTGGTTGTCTGGGTCATCTTTCCCCCCTTTTTTAAAGAGAATATTTGCTCCAGGAGTAGCTCGGACTTCTCTAAGAATTCTCAAAGATTATTGATAGCAACTGAAGAGTTCTTTTAGTGCTATTGGATGTAATTCATCTGACCCTGGAGATCTGAATTCATTTAGAGTAGCTAGGCATTCTTTTATTGCCTCTTTATATGGGCTGCAGTTCTCTGACTACATGATTTATTCCATTTTTGCCAGTTATAGCATTGCTTTTCTTTTGGAAGAAGATTGAGGCAAAGAATGCATTAAACAATTTAGCCTTCTCTCTAATTCTGTTATCATTTCACTATTTTCCTTACACAGTGGTACAACCATTTTCTTATTCCACCTCTTGCCTCTGAACATAATCAAATCTTTCCTAACCCCACCTCAAACAAAAGTCTTACTATGTATAATCTTCCTATCAAGCCCGAGCTCATTTTGAGCTTTTGCTTTACTAATTTTCACCCTACAAATTGTTGTTGTTTATTCATTCAATTGCTTCCGACTCTTTGTGACGTCTTGAACCAGCCCATACCAGAGCTCCCTGTCGGCTGTGGCTACCTCCATCTCCTTCAAGGTCAAGCCAATCACTTCAAGGATACCATCCATCAATTTTTCCCTTGGTCAGCCCCTCTTCCATTTTCCCCAGCATCATTATCTTCTCCAAGCTTTCCTGTCTTCTCATTATGTAGTCAAAATACTTCATATTTGCCTCTTAATATCCTTCCTTAAAGTGAGCAGCCGGTCATTATTTCTTGGAGTATGGACTGGTTTGATCATCTCGTGGTCCAAGGCACTCTCAGAATTTTCCTCCAACACTACAGTTCAAAAGTGTCTATCCTCCTTCGCTCAGCCTTCCTTGTGGTCCAGCTCTCACATCCATAGGTTACTACAGGGAATACCCTACAAATATTGGCTATTCATTTGTATCTCACCTTTACACACCTCCTCATTGGAATGGTTTTGTTCTAAAAAAATCTTTTAAAATTGACCCCACCTCCTCCCAGAATAATAATTTAGATTTAAGTCTCAGGAGCATATTATACCTTTATATATTTTAATAACTTATACAAGTAGCTCTTGACTGGGTTTCAAGCAGCCCAGCCCAAGCATTCTTGAAAGGATTCATCCAATCAACTGCGAAGACCACTGCCTCGGGGAGATGTAAAGGATCTGACAATGGGATAGTCCCACACCCCTTGCCTTTAAAGCCTTTTCCCTAAAAAGACTGAGATGTTTCCCTTTTCTGGATTTATGTTTATGATTTATTAGAAATAAATATATAAGGGGGGGGGGGGACTTGTGAATGCATTGGGTACACTGGACTGGACAGTAATAATTATGATTTATAGGACACCGGGAAATTTTAAACTGAAAAATTGGTTCAGCGTCCTGGTGAAAATCCCCTCAAGTTGGCAAAGCATAGCAAAAGATCTTGTCTTAAGATGCAATTAAGATCAGACATCCAGGTGTGTTGGAAAATATCAAATATAAGCTGTGCCTCAATGCAATCTGTATTGTTTTGTATGCTTTCAATTCCGTTTTTTTATATTTGCATATGCTTTGTCTTTGTCTCTGAGGCTGGCTCCTTTTTGTGAACTCATATGATCCCATTCTGAACTATTTCAATTGCTTCAAACCATTTTTCCAAGTCTTGCCCTTTTTCTCCTGGGAGGGTCTTCCACGTGACCGCAGCTACAAATGGTCAAATAGCAGCTCTTTATTTTTCCTGCCACAAAGGAGACTCTGTCAAACTCTGACATCACAGGGAGTTCCCAGCCAACAAAAGCTCGGATCCTGGCTTTGCCATCTCTGAGCCAATCAGAGGAGGGAATGGGTCTATGTCAAAGGGGATAAATGTCTTGCACTGTATTGTATGGTCGTGTCCAATTCCTTTCCAACTGAGACTCTGTATCAGGCCTGAGTGTATTAAACCTCTGTTATTGCATTCAAACCCAGTCTACATTTTTTCATGGCAGTCATGATAGCATGCCGTGCTGGATGATGGATTCACCCTGTTCCTTAAGTAGCTAGCTAATTTTGACTACAGTTTCCTCCTCATTGGAATGGTTTGCGATTTTGCCTTCAATATCAGTAATAAACTCGCATGCACTGTGAACTCCCTTTCCTTTAAACAGTTCTGACCATGGGATTTCACCATGCTTTCCCTAGCTTCCTTTGCAAGTATAAGCCACTGCAAAAATGGTGAAATAAAAAACAACCTAAGGATTTGGTATAAGATAAAAAAGCCATGAAAGCAAAAGGAAGCTATCCAAGCTTTAAAACCTACTTCGGGAAGTAGGTTTTAAAGCTTGGATAGTTTTTTTTTTTTGCTTTCATGGCTTTTTTTTATCTTAGCAAATGCTATTCTAGATAGCAAGTTTCCTCTCCTGGAATATAACAACAATTTGACAAAATTGTTCAGAGGTCAGACTGAAGTGCAGCTTACCCTTTAACATAAATTTGGCAAAAACACTGCAGTGGGATTTAGCATTCAGTCATCCAGTAAATCAATTAAGAAAATGCACTGCTTTTCTGCTTGCCAATCTCTAATCCTGCAGGTTTTGTTTTCAGTTCATTGTGTACTGTGGGGGAAAGGGGTATAAAAATAAAATAAAATTAGATTTCACTGTATTCAGCTTCACCCTCTGCAGTGGAATCCCTCCCCTGCAATCCCAGGAATTGGGGGGCTGGTTGTGAATATTGCATGAATGGTATCTCCAGAAATCCTGTGTAATATATTTCAACTTCTAAGGACATGATTATGTACTCTTATTTCCATTATAATCTGGTTAGCTAGTATATTCTGAAAGTGAAAGGTAAATTACAATAAAATGATGCTTCTTGCTTCCATATAAGCCATGTAGATCCTCACTTCCTTGAAAATAAGCACAGATTTTCAGTGAATATAAATAAAATTATTCAGTTCTCCTGTAATCCATTTTAGCATCTTTAAACACTTGTTTCGTGCCTTACTGAAGATAATTAGTATGGAAACTGATTCTATGTCTACTTACGTCCCTACATTTAGAGAATGCAGTATTTAATATTTATTTGTTGCATGTGTTATTAATACGAAAATCAGCCCCTCTTTGCATGTTAAGTAAGCTGACAGCAAGTCTTCAAAATGTAAAAAGCACAAAACAGATTCTTCCTACTAGCAGAAGCCAAAATATAGACAGCTTCTAATGTCTGCCCCAGTCACACAAAACAGTTGTAAAAAAATAATTGAGAAATACATGGTGTCTCCAAAATGTATATACGCTTAATAGGATTAAAGATTACAACAGTAGAGAATAACAACAACAACACCAACACCACCAACAACTTTATTTTTATACCCG